ATTAACCTACTCCTAGTTTACTGTATTAAGTAATCATCACCTCACTTGATCAAAGATCAACTAATGGACTTTGATTGGATGTCATTGGTGATGCATTACAACACCTTTCAGGGCAAATTAGTCTTAAAACTAGTAAACTGCCAGCGTAGGCAAAATTTCTAGACGTTGTAGGGGTTAACATGTATTCCTGTGCAAAGGTTAACCCGAGTCATAAACCTAGAAGGTGAAATTGCACTTCTATTTACTGCAGGACAGGGTAAGAGGGTCTCTGAGGTACCGTAGTCGGGCTCTGGGTGGACGGTCTTCAGCCGCAGGTATTCTCTGAACAGGGTCACTGAAGGGTCTTCTGTCCCGGGGCCATTCTGGACCCCTCCACCGCCGTTTGGTCCATCTTTATCAGGCAACATACCGGCCCACTGTCCTGTGACGAGACGGTTCATTATTAACCAATACACACTCTCATACACGCATATGTGTGAATTTTAAATGTCTAAAATCAAACTTGAATAAATATATATATAAGAAAATAAAGCCTTTTGAAGGGCCATTTTAAGGATTTTTTTTTTACATTTAAAATTTTTTAACATTATATCATTATATTTATGAAGTACATTTTCATGAACCATAGCTCTATTAACTGTGATTCAAAAGGTGAGAAATAATACTTTAATTCAACAAAGATGCATTAAAATGATCAAACGGGACAGTTTATAATACATTTCTATTTATATACAACATTTATATAATCCACAAACATTGCAACATATTTCTATTTCAAATAAAAGATGTTCATTTTGACCTTTATATTCATCAAAGAATCCTGAAAAAGTATTTTTAAATATGTATTTTAAATAAAAAAATATGCATTTAAAAAAAATAGATGTTTAATATTATTAAATTATTTTAAATAGTCTTTGAAAATATGAATTTAAAATTATAGTTAATATTTTTTAAACATCCTCATACAGGGTTTGGCTGCATATTTACACTTAATAAAACAAAACAAAATAGCAGATCTTACAGATGACTTATTACTGGTTAGTTCTGGTTTCTAGGCTTTTTGGGGTTTGAACCTGACACTGGCTGGTCACATAAACTGCTTAGACTTGCCTTATAAGTTAGTATAAACTTACTTATTGTCCATTAAACGTCTGCATAAACCAGTTTACATGTTCATGTAGCAAACTTAAAAAAGTTACAACCAGTCTTAAAGAAAAAATGACTTGTAACAGTAGTCTACGCAGTTTATGCAACCAGCCATTGGTTTTAAAGATGGGAGATACATTTTATTTTTTACAATTACATAAAAACATCTAATTTCAGGGGGAAAAATACATAAATAAAACGTAAAAGACTTGCCTTCTGGCTAGTTGGTCAGATTGTTTAACTGTCAACACAAGTAAACAAACATGCAAAACAACATGGCAGGAAAAGAGCTCGATTCTTTACAGAGTAAACATCACTGCACAACAAATACCAGCCTGTTTCAAATCAAACAAACGTCTGTATTGATGTGTCGTGTGTTTAATAATAAATCTATCCATCAATAGCAGCTGACACATTGACTCACCTGCTTCAGCTTCAGCGCGAGCTCACTGCTGATTTGCGTCTTAATCAGTAAACAACACTGTTACAAACACTGTCTTTCCCTGTAATGGATATCTGAAGGTAATTTATAACTCACCTTCGCTCCAGGGTCCTCGGCTGAACTCGGGTCGTTACTTATTATGCTCGATCATGCCCAAAAACACCTCTCTCGCTCCGGAGGCTAGCGTCATGACGTCGCAAATCTCCGTTACGTACGTGATGTTTAGAGCGCGTGCGCGAAATGTATGAAACGTTTTTGGTGTAACGTACCAGTGTTGGGGAAAGTTACTTTTAGAAGTAATGCATTACAATATTGCGTTACTTCCTAAAAAAAGTAACTAATTACGTTACTTCGTTACTTGTTATTGAAAGTAATGCGTTACGGTACTTTTGCGTTACTTTTTAAATCTGGGCTGGACTTGCTTGTTTGCTTTTAATATAAGAAGTTATATTTTTGGCAAATATAAAAGCCCTTTCACAACAAACGCCTCAGGCTGAAGGAAATGTAAATTCATGTCTGAACAGTAGAACGCAGAAGAAGAAAGTTCAACTCTTCAGCAATAAAAAAGAAGAAGAAATGTTAGTTTATCTTGAGTCATTTTTGCTTATTAGTATGGTTGAATTGGATCACCGAAAGTCAGCAGCGAATTGGTTAATAAAATGGGATTAAATACATAAAGGATATTTGTATTATTTAACATATTTAATTATTGCAGCTTTGCGTCCACTTGAAAAAAGTAATCTGATTACGTAACTCGCGTTACTTGTAGTATATTACCCCCAACACTGTGGTGTACTGCAGTAATGTGCTTCTGAAATGAAATTCCCATTCGTTTTCTCCACAGGGATTAAACAACACCAACAGCTAGAGAGATTTAAGCAGACAACGAACTTCAAGATGAACTGTCTGGACGCAAGACAGTCACGTTATTTAAAAAAGGTTGGAGGCATTTTTCATAGCTTTTTTAGATAAGTGATTGTTATTCCTGGTCCTGTACGTCTTCTTTATTTAGCACGCTTCAGAGCTCGAAAAACACACTGTTTTGCATAATATTGCCAGCTATTTTCCTGAATGGATCGACGTGTTCGAAGGAATCGGTTCAGTGAATGATTCAGACTCGCTCATCAGTCACTTGCCGCCACCTACTGGTGTAATGAAGGAAGAACCCCGAGTTACTGGGAAAAGTCCGCAGCTACGCAGATTTACCACATGGTACTTGTGTCTTTTCTCGTCGAAAACGCTTGTGAATGCTGGATAATTGTTTAAATAATGTTGTACACATTGCTGCAGTTCTGTGTGTAACTATATCAGGCATCAATCATTGGAACTGATAGATTTAACTGATTAACCTGACAAATAACTCGTTTTTAAAACATCCGCCGGCTAAAACACGTATTTTGAATTCAACACAACTAATTTCGCCAAAAAGAGCGACGCGTTTTATTTTATTTTATTCTATCCTATTTTACAAGATTCACGTGATGTATTTAGCTTGTTGTGATTTTGAATCTGAGTATGTGACATCTGTAGTGCGTACTAGCAAGCAGGCGTTGGTGGTATAGTGGTTAGCATAGCTGCCTTCCACGCGAAGGCCAGCCGCACATAGGTGTAGAGCGCTGACTAGCCAATAGGAAGGAAGGAAGTTCCAGGGAGGCGGGACGAGTAAAATACACCCAATTAGAGGTTCGAATCCCGCCTCGGCCGCAAATAACATAAAATGAATGTGTAATCATTTTTCATCTAAATACACTTTAAGTACGATTAGCATATAATAAACGAACTTTGTGCACAAAGATAAAATAAAACTTTTAATAATTGTACTTGTGTAGGATATTCAAAATGTGCAACGGTCTTAATGAACATTTACATTATAATAGGGTATAGTTATCTATAATAGAGAAAATATTTGAATGTGAATAATTGAAAAGAACATTTTGACTGCTGCGCGAAGGTTGACCCGGGTTCGATTCCCGGCTAACGCAGCATGTTTTTCCTGCTTTAAGTAACTTTGAGGAAAAGATCTTTTCATGACAAGATCGATAATTATAACGTTTTAGTTATGGTCCTCATTCTATGTTAATTGGGAAGTCCACACTACACTATAACGATTAATTTTTCTGTTCTGGCTGATAAACGAAGAAACAAAATGTCCTCAAGTTGCCTGGCAACATTGCTCAAAAAGTTGCCCAGTGTATCATCAGCCTAACAATAACTAATGGGGCCTTATTGTTAAGTGTTACTAAAAAAAAATGTCATCTACTTTCTAATATCCATCCTAAT